GACCCGGTATTTCGGAGACGGGTATTCTGATAAATCCGGTTTCTCGGGGTTTTCTTATTTACTCATTTCCTTCAAAATAAAATTATGGCAGTTTGAAAATGTCGAATTCTGTTTTTCATTTAATTGCAGGTCCATCAAAATTAAAATTTTTAATCCTGATCATTTCATTGTGATTACATATTCAAAATTATTGTTAGGCCTTTGAACTAATTTTTTTATTTTTTGTAAAAATTTTATTTGCTAAATTTGTATTCTGCTGCAATAAGTAAAAGACCACTTAAATACAAAAACACAACTTTTGCTCTAAAAAATTTCTTTTAAATTCTCTTTTTTCTTCTCTTCAGCGGTCAGTCGAAGACCCTTTAGCCTTTCACCCACTTGGAAAATCTAATCGAGACAACAAAAAAATATTTTTACGCTCAAAAGCTTTTCTCAATATTTTATTTATGTAATAAATATTTTCACTTATTTCTTCAACAAAAATAAATTTTAAAAAATAAATAAATAAATTTAATATGCAAATAAAAATTATGGCTATTTTCCCAGTTTTATTTTTTGCTGCTTCTTTCCCTGATTATATTCAAACACAAATGTTTGACCCTTATTTTGGTATTTATTCTTTTAATAATCCTTCAATGAATTTATATAATAACCCTTACATGTATCCCATTGGTTATGGACATTATTATTCGTCTTCTTCTTCTGATTGGCAACCATGGACGGGAGGAGGATTTAATAGAGGAATTAATACTCCAAATATTGGGGGCTCTTTTAATCAAATAAATCCATTTTTAAATCCATTTTACCCTAACAACAATAATTTAATTAATTCTGGAATATTTGGATTACAAACACCTCCTCCAACACCTCCCTCAAATAATAATCCTTTTGGAAATCTTTTATCAGCATTAATTGGCCCTCCACCACCTCCCCCTCCTCCTCCTCCTACACTTTCACCTACACTTTCTCCACTTCCAAATTTATTTCAACCAAATTTCGGTGAAACAACAAATGGAAATAATAATATGGCATCTTCACTTTCGTCGCCTTTTGGAAGAAAATTCCGTTTAAGATTGGGCGGTGGAGGTCCATCTTCAGGTTCTGTTAATATTTTTTTCTTTATTAGTCTTAAAGTGCTCTCCGACTTCGGAAATGCTACTATTCCTGATAATAAAAACATATGTACATATTTCTCCATCCCAAATAAAAGTTCCTTAAACTTTGTGTCGTCAAAAGTTTTGGTTTTTCTTTTAATTTTTTTTGAACATTTACGAGTAAAAGGAATTTTAAATAAAATTATTTATTTTAAATTTTTTTTAAAATTTTGATTAGATGCACTTTTGAATTTACGTGATTTAGAAAGGCAATCATTATTATCTATGTCAAATAGTGGAAATGCTGGTGGATGTTCGGGAAATAATAGTGGATTTTTATTTGGCGATAGAGATTGTTTAGATTCAAAAAAGAATAATAAAAAACAAAAATTTTAAATTTTTTTAAAAATTATTTTGATAAAAACTTTATTAAAATATTTTGGTTAAAAATGAAAAGTTGGTTAGAATTAGAGATTGGATTTTTTATTTGGCCGAGAATCTCGTTTTCGGTCTAATCGTTTTCGGTCTAATCTCTAATTAATTACGAAATTATTTTTAAAATTTATTAAATTAATTAAAATCAAATTAATTAAATACAATAAATTGATTATCATTATTTTTTGGATTATTCTGAAAAATATTTCCTTTTTTCTGTGCCAAAATAATCGAAAGAAATCAAAAAGCAGAAGCAAAAGAACATAAAGCAGATTTTAATTGTTGTGGGGATTCTTCTTTAGATGAATATGCGGGTGGCGGAGGGCATAAAAATGGTTTTTGTTTAAATGAATTGTTTATTAATATTTTTGGGGGTGAAGGAGGTGCCGGCATTTGCCAACCAATTCCATTTGAACAAGGTCCAAAGAAGCGTTGCATTGAAGGTGGAAGCGGCCTAAGAGGTGGTGAACGGCCAAATGATGAATTACTTTAAATTAATTTAAATATATATTTTTAAAATTAGCAATCCTCTCTAATAGACACCCTTAATTAAATTAAAAAATTTTTTATAAAAAGTTTCTCTCTCTAATTGAACTACAAACCCTCTCTAAATACATCAAATCTCAAATTAAAACTAACGGTTTCCCAAAACAAATTTTAAAAATGAGAGAATCAAAAAAATCCCACAAATTAATTAAACACCCCCTTATCAACATTGAGTTATTAAAATAAATTTAAAAAAACTTTTAAACTTATTTAAATTCAATCCATTATTTAATAATAAAGGTGTTTGAGAAAAAGAACAATTCTTTTCTTGTTGTTGAAGAAGTAATATTGTAGATTCATCCAACCGAATATCATAATTATTTAAAGGTTTTGATTTGTGACTAATACATAAATAAAATCCGAGAAAAGCACAAATAATTGATGGAACAATAAAAGCAAATATTACAAATAACATAACAATTTTTTAAACCTTAATATATGTATATACAGTCAATGAGATCTCTTGGGGCTAAAAAAATTGTTATAAAATTGAGGATATATAAAATATTGGGTAAATATTAAAATATTTAAAAAAAACTATTAAAAATATTTTTTTGTTTAAAAGGAAAATTTTATCTCAAAAAATGATAAATTAGCAATTTAATATGAGCCTCTTATAATTAGTAAATATTAGCGAATTTTAAGTAAATATTAGCGAGTTTTTTATTAGAAGTTTGGCAAGAGAGAAGGATCTTCATTTTCAATTATCTTTTTATTTTTAATTTGTGACAACTGATTAATTTGTATTCAAGAAAATAGATATCTAGTTAGCTAGGCGGGGATATAAGATCTATTAACCAAAAAATTGCCCCAGCCGGTACAGCCTAGCGATATAACTATTTACTATGATATCACAGGATTGACGCGTGCCAGGGGCAAACTTTTACCTTTTTATCTTACTATGACTTGTTGCGTAATTTCTTTTTAGTGATTCTTGATTCAGTAGTAAGTTGAAAGAAGGCATGGACTTGAAATTAGTTTAAAAGAATGACAAATAAATATATTTAAAAAATAGTTTTGTTATTATGTGTTTATTATTAAAAGTAAAGAGATAAACTACATCTGTACATATCCTCTCTAAATTTTCTATATTAAATTTATTTTAACTATTTTTAGAGGCAATTCTTTTCTTTTTTTTCAATTTAAAAATAAAATTGTATTTATTATATTTGTGCTTAAATAAATTGGGTTAACTTTAAATTGAAAAGAAAAATCAATTTTTTTAAAATTTTTATCAAAAGTTTATATATTCGAGAGAGTATTTTAATTCAAAAAAATTGTCTAGAAATTTAACAAAAATATTTTTTATTAAATTATTTTAACATTTTCTTTCTTTATTTTTAACAACCTAATTGCTGTAAAGCATTACAACATCGATGATCACTATTTTTGAGAGATTCTAAAAGTGCTGGACAGGAAGAAGACTGGAAAGATTTTTGAAAAAAGATTTTTTAATTTAAATAAGAATTACTTTATTATTATTATTTTTATTTCCTCCTTCAATTCCTAACATAAATTGTTTTATATAATCTTTACACCAATATGGATCAATTCCTCCATCACACTTTTTAGGATCATAAAAATTTAATTTTTTTGTCTGAGGTAATCCAACATCTTTTCCTTTAAATTGCTCGAATTGCTAATAAACGAATAAAATTTTTAAAATTATTTGATTAAAAACTACTTGTTTTTCCTCTTTATTTTCATTAAAATCCCCCGCCATAACATCTTGTTGACCAATTTTTGTTCTCCAAGGCCAATACATTTGTGATTTGTTAACACCTCCCTGCTCGATTGGATGCCAATTTTGTTGTTGTTTTCCTTGTTTATTTTTCCAATTTTCTAATGCTTCGTACTAAAAATAATTGGATATAGCCAAAGTTACAAAAAACACTGAAACAGACACTCATCAAAAACTTTTCCTACTTCTCTTGCTTTTCCTAATTTATCACCAAAAACACTTTGAAAATTAAAAAAACCCATTACTTGTGGATTAGCTGCAGGTATTGTATTTTCAATTCTCGGATAAATATTGTCTTGCCCCTCATATGCTGTTCCTTTTAAAGGGGAAACTTTAATATTATTATTTTGTTGATGATTAAAAGGCGAAACAATGGGCTTTGATGGTATTTGACGTTTAAATTTAAATGAATGTTCTTTTAAAGGTAATAAAGTATTATTTAAATTAATTAATGGTGAAATATCTGGATTTGTTGTTTTTTGATCTTCTAAGGATTTTACTAAAAAGATATATAATTTTTCTGGATTCACTAATTCTTAATTTATACTTTGTTTTTGTTTTCCTCGTTTCTTTATTTTCTTAACTCTTTCTGCAAAAGATAAAGGTAGTCTACTAAAATAGGGATTATTGTCATATTGAGGATATAATGAAGAAGAAAATTGGAAAGATTCTTCATTAAATGTTGGGGGGCAGTTATTAAATATTGAATCTTTATTTAAATAAGATAATTGTTGTTGTCTTAATTTTTGGTCAAATTGGTTAGGAAATGGATAATTTTGATAATTATTTAGTGGATTATTGTTATAATTTTGTAAATAATTTGGAGATTGAGGAAAATAAGGAGAATAAGCTTGAGGAGGTAATGAACCAAATGGAGGAATAAATTGATTTAAATTACTATCCAGATAGTCCATTGGCGGTGAAATTCCGCCAAAAGGGATTTTACCTTAATAAAAATGAATTAATAAAGTAATTATTTCTAACTGAATTTTTCTCCTTAAAAATGTTTAAATGGCAAATAGAGATTCTTGGTGATTGAATTAAGTGAAAGGAGAGCCTTGTGTCTAGTAAGTCGGATCTTATTTGTAGATAAAATCGAAACTACAATGGATTGTACACTAAAGTGGTGGTATTTCCTAGGGATCTCCCACACCAGTGACCAAACCAAATTTAAAAAAAAAAGTCTACACTAAACTACACATTAAACAAATTTTTGTATAATTATTTTTACCATATTCTGGACATGGAAATCGTGAACATGTTTTTGTTAAATCACAAATAGTTCTCGAATGTGGTATACCTCCATATGGAGCATTTATTGGTGTTAAATCAGTGAAAAACTTTAAAAATATTTTTTTAAAAAACAATAAAAAAATCTACCAATAATTCAATACATCCCATTCCAAAAAAAGATTCATCAACAGCAAAATTTGCCACAATTGTAGCGTCCATAAAAGTCCCTCTAGGCTTAATTAAAATGCCTCCTCCAACTTCGCGTATTGGAGGTCTACCGAACTCAAAACGTGCCGAAGTGACTGAAACAAAGGAACCAGAAGGATTCTCAATTACGGCCATTTCTGTTGACTTTTTTTGAAAAAAAAAAAGATTTTTTTATAATTTAGAAAGACTTACAATTAATCGAAAACCTATTCCTGAAAAACAAATATTTTTAATTAAAAGATTTAAGTTTTTAAAGTTTAATATATTCTCCTTATTATTTAACTAAACAAACCAATCCAAAAATGTTGCTCTCGAAATATAGGTTCATCAAAAAATCCATTCAATGGAAAATTTGGGGTTCTTGGAAAGTTTCTCATATTTACAATAAAATTAACTAATCCACTAAATTATTTTAAATTTTTTAATTAATTTAAAAAATTTATTTGTCATCTACCTACAATTACTATGCCAGCTAGCATAAAAACCAGTAGATTCATCATTAAAAGAACAAATTTGTGAATTAGCTATTCCATAATGTGGTAACAATAAATTATTTACTGAAAAAATATTTTTTTTTATTAATTATAAAAAATATATTTACTAGCACGACGAATCTAAAATCGAAAATTTTTGTGATTTTTTAAAATTATTTTTAACAAAACCTCAAAACCGAAAACGGGGAGGGGGTACCGTTTAATAATTGATAGTGAACAATTATAAGATTTACCTTCAAAAATAGAAATAAAAACTAAAATAATTTTAAATAATTGATAATGCATTTATTTATTTTAATAAATATTTTAATTCATTTTTAAGTTTAGGAAATATTAATTTACTAAAAATAAATAAAAATATTTTAAAAGACAATTTTTTATTAATAAATTAAGTTTATTTTTATTGTTTATTTACTTTTATATTTAACTTAAAAAAACAATTTTTTCTCTATTTTTGTTTAAACGTGTCAGCAACCTCTTTTAGAAGACACATTTTTGTTTTGTTTTTTCTTAGATTCTTTGTTTACTTAATTTATTTGTTTAATTTATAAATTAATCAGAGAAATCTCAGATTGATAGAAATAATAAAAATAAAGTTTTTTTGAATGGTTTCTGACAAGATTATAATTTTACTTTACATTTTTATTGAGAATTTCTTTTTTTTTATTTTAGTGAAAACGAGATCTACTTTATTAACCATTTCAATTAACCTACCGCATAATGACTCAATTGCCAGCAAAAATCTGCCTGTTCAAACAAGAACTATTCATGTAAAGTATTCACCGTCACCGATCATGCCGTATTTCCTCTAATAATGTTGAATAAATTAATTATATATTCAACATACCACTTAAGGGTATAATTAATAATTAGAAGTCAATTAGCCGAAAAATTAGAGGATTTTTACATATATATTTATTTTATTCTCAATTTAGTTATATAAAAATTTTAAATTAAATAAAAATTAATTTTTTTATTTATTATTTATTTTTTTCTTTTCCATCTTCTCCTCAATTTAATTTCGACTGGCTCGTCATTAAATATATACTACGATGATGATACTTTACACATTTTGTTGTGAAAAGAGAAAAGATAATTGAGGTCCTCCAAATCATCATTTTCTTTCTCACACAACTTTTGAGGAAAAAAATTATTTAAAAATCTACATGTGCGAAGACAAAATTACTGAAAACATCTTCTGATTTTACTAATTACGTTTTATATGTATTTATTTATTTGGATTAGGCAATTTATTCAAAACAATTATAACTTAAAAAGCAAAATATTCTCTTCTGATTTTGTCTGAATTAATTTATTAAAATGATTTTTCGATTATTTTTATTAATTTTCTTATATTCTTATTTAATTTATGCACGGGTAAAATAAAATTTAATTAACTAAGAAATCTCCCGAATTTTTATATTAGAGGACCTCAAAAATTTTTTACTTAAAAATTTAATAAAAATTTAATTATTCTTTAAATTGTCTAAAGTTTCTAATACAGAAAATCAGCCTAACAAAACATTGTGGACTTCCACCAAATATAAATGAATTACCTGATTTTGCCCAAGACGAATTAAATGCTGTTTGGTTATTATTAAAAATAATTTCTTTAAAAATCTTTTCTTTTTTAAAATTAGGAAAGATTATATTCCCGGAAATAAATGCGAGAAAGAAATGCAAATAACTGAGGATATTTTAGCTGTTTTAGTTACTTTTGAAAAAGAATTACAAAAAGAAATAAAAGAGGAAGATAAAACAAAAAATATTAAACAAAATTCTAAACAAATTTTGAATAATTCAAATAAATTAAAACAAGAATTTGATATCCCTAAAGGTTATTTTTGAAAGAAAATTTAATTTTAAATCCTCTAAAAAGGAAGATCAACAAAAAGACGAAATCCTGACAGTTATGGAGAGGAAGGAAATTATAATACAGGGAAGAATGAATATATTGTAGATGAAGAAGAGAAAGGTGAAATTGAAGAAGAGGATAATGAGGTAAAGGAAGGGAAGGAGGGAATGGAGGGGAGGGGGGGGTTGGGAAGGGGGGGATGGAAAGGGAAAATTAATTTTTATTTAATTTATTTTAAAGCAACAAGAACGTCTAAGAATTAAAGATTTGCCTTTTTTGAGGGGTGCAAGTCCAGATGTAATTGATTTATTTCGAAAAGTTATTGATGATCCAGAATTTCCTACAGAAAAACGTAGACTGGAAGAAGTAAAAAGAGAACTTTTGTTTTTTAATCTTTTTTTTATAAAATTAGATTCAATTACTGGCAGTTTCTTACTTGAATGCTCGACAATTAGCCAAATTCGATGCATGGGCAACAACGAGGAGAAAGTGAGTTTTTGGGAGGGATTCTTAAAATTATTTTAATTCTCGAAAATTTATCTTAAAGAATACCTTATTTTTCCTAATAAAACAACATTTCCTAACATAAACGAAAATGAAGCGATAACTGAAGTGATAATCTAGTCAAGACATAATTTTGTTTAGGTTTATGTATGTATAGTGTGGTGTTAAAAATATAAGTGATACTCGAAGCGAGTAGAAAAATCTCCCTAACATTATTAAAGGGGATGAAAAAAAGCAAACATTGTTTTTTAAGATAAATATGGCAAATGTTTTGGAAGATTAATATTCAATAATTCTGTAGAAAGAAAGGGGAGGGGGGATTTAGTTTAAAAATAAAACCGGTGAGCATGTAATGTTCGAATATAATTTAATTAATATTTTTGGTACTATAGTCTTATCTCCCCACAAGTCCGCGACTTTTTGTCCGCAAACTTTTCTTCTCCTATTCTTTCTCTTTGCCTCTACACAGCAGTATCAGCCCGTTGACGCACGCGTGAAAACTACTTAGTTTTCTATTTCTCTTTTCTTTCGTTCTCTAACTGTCTCTCTTTCTTTTATGCACTCTTTTTTTGCGACTGCGAAAACAAATTTTAATAAAACTTTAAAATCCCATATCTCGAAAACCGCTTATACGTTTTAAAATCTGTCTATACATTTTATAGATAATTGTGTCAAGATTCTCTGAAAAAAATTTCAGAAATTTTAATGCAAAATTCACAGAGTTGATGCAAAACTAGCGCAGCCATCCCCGTATCTGGATAAATTATGTATCATTCGAAAGACCTCGGTGAGCTGATTCGATGATACCAAAATCAAGTACCGATCATTATTATGGGCTGAGATACAGACTTTTGAAAATCGAGAAACAAAAGGGGGGACCAAGCTCGAAAAATTCGATTTTTCAAATTATATGTCATTCGAAAGAGCTCGTCGAGATATGTCGAATGACACCAAAATCACGGCTCAATCAAAATCATGAGCCGAGATACAGACTCCTAAAAATCGAAAAAATCGTATTTTGAAGAGCTCATAACTTCGTTAAAAATGCATATTGGCTTTTCAAACTTTGTAGGATTGTTTAACTATTATAGGCCTATAAAAATGCAAAATTTGAAAAAATTCGGCATTGAGGATCAAAAGATATAAATTTTAATTAATCCCTCTAGTAAATGAGAGAAAATGTCCTTCTGACCATTTCTCTTGTTTCCAATTAAGTCAGACGCACGAGAGATGCAATAAAAAAAGGAGAGTAAATAGACATTTATTTAAATTTTGGCGTTATGTTTAAGGAAAAGAGTTAGCTAGTTTTCACGCGTGCGTCAACGGGCTGATACTGCTGTGCCTCTATCCTTCTCCTTTCTTTTTTCTCATAGAAAGATTAAAAATGGTCAGGTTAATAAATATCACGGACTAATTTAATTTAAATAAAGCAGTCAATATTAGAAATACATCATCTTTATTTTGTGCTTTAAAATTGTGTTTTAAATTTTATGTTTACGTTTTAAAATTTTTTTCAAACTTGTTCAATCGGTTGATTTTAATGTCCTTCGAATCAGCTTTTATTTTCATATTTTAATTTTATTCCCGAAAATGACCATGGTTTTAGACCAATTTGATCCCCTTTTTCCGGGAAAAAAGAGTGGTACCGTCCGACTCGGCACCTTTTATTACATTTTTTAATTTAGGGGGGGGGGGTGTAGCAGAAAAGAAAAGTACCAAAAATTTAAAACAATTTTAAAGCACAAACTTTATTTAAATTAAATTAGTCCGTGATATTTATTAACCTGACCATTTTTAATCTTTCTGTTGTGTCAGCATTTGCAGAAAGAATATAAATGAAAATAAATAACCCAGCATTGGGTTGGATGGTGGCACAGTCGGTAGTGCTTCGGTCTGGGCTCATTCCATGATGGTTCAATTACATTTCCCATCCAAACATTTTTCCACAGCATGAACACTCGGACATGACACTTTCTGAGAAAAAAGAAAGGAGAAGGAAAAGGCAAAGAGAAATAAAGAATAGGAGAAGAAAAGTTTGCGGACAAAAAGTCGCGGACTTGTGGGGAGATAAGACTATAGTACCATATTTTTAGAATTCATAACTAAGACACAGAAGATAATGAAGATTCAAAGAAAAATCAAGAGAAGTTTTAAAAAATAATCTCAAATTATGTATTTAACAATTAAATTCAAAACATTTTATTTAAAAAAAAAGCGTGCGAAAAAATGAATAAACAAACAAATGTGCATTTTTTATTGCACGCATTTTAATTAAAAATATTATATTTTAATATATTTTAGTAAAAACTGTCTTTTTTGTAATTTAAACGACTGGGATAAAAAGCCACTGACAAGAAAACTTTAAAAAACTTTTATTTTGTTTATGCTTGACTTTCATCATCGCCAGCATCATCTAATGGGCCTGAAAACAAAAAATAATTTAAAAAATTTTTATTTTTTGTTTCAATTTCAAAAAATTTCGTATTATTTTACATGGCAAAACTTGATTAATTTGGTCATAGAGGAAATATGTATATCCAAAACAAAAGCAAACAGTTGTAAAAGTTAAAAATAAAATTTAAAATATTATTTTTGTTAGATAAAGATAAAACACAAAAGAAAACAAAAAAATGCCCTCATCCCCAAAAACCTGAGAATCTAAAAAACTCCCAAAATCTTAAACATTTCTAATACTACCTCCCTTCCAAAAAAATTAAAACAAAAAAATTTAAATTAATTTATATTAAAAACAAAGGAAGAAGAAATCTACAAAACTTCCAAAAACTAAAAATAAATAAAAAAGGGGAATTATAGAAAACACAGCAATTAATTAAAAAATATTTAATTAAAATCATCCACAGTTGTCGGTCTATCAATTTCTTCCATTAAAGACTCGCTTATTTCTTCTTTAATATCACCTAAAATACACACCAAATAAGGATTTTGGAAATTAAAGAAGCACCCAAACAAACAAAATTCAAAAAAAATTAAATTTACCTTCAATATTAAGCGTTAATTCAACATTTGCTTCTCCAGCATCATTTTTTATGTTACAAGTGTATGTCCCACTATCTTTTGCTTTGTAGTTCTAAAAATATTAAAATTTTTTAAAATTATTAGATCGCAAATTTTAAGAGTTTCAAAAGTTTTCAGACAATTTAGCTTAAATGGACGCCGAGCCAACTTTTAAATTTTCACTTTTACAAACCAAACTTTTTCTATTTTTATTCAAATCCCGGTAAGTTCAAATTAAACATATTTATTTAAAATATTCTGTTAATTAAAGACCTATTTTTTGTTATTATTTATTCCAATTTTTGCATTAATCTCAACAAAACCCTCAACAAACCTTTAATTCCAATTGAGCAGTGTATGTATTTGCCCCTCCATCAGGAGTCAAACCAAATTTAATTCTGCTAGATTCTTTCATCTTTTTGCTTTTTGGATTAAGCCAAATAACCTCAGGATTTTGGTCGGCCTAAAAATAATTTTTAAAACAATATTTTTATTTTTCAAAAACAAACTTGAAATCCAATATCAAAAA